TAGCTAAGAAACTAAATAAGAACACATACCTTTTGAGACAGCTAAGTAATAATGTATCACAAAAAACATTAATAGTTGCCTATTTTGCATTTTTTCACTCTTCAATTGAGTATGGTAACTTAGTTTGGGGACATTCTACTTGTCGACACAGGATATTTGCTCTTCAAAGGCGTGCTGTTCGGATTATAGCTGGACTTCAGTACCGTGATGATTGCAGATCTGCATTTGTTGAACTTAAAATTTTAACTGTGCCTTCAATTTTCATCCTACATTGTTTATTACATCTCAAAGACAATATTGGCAATTATTCTAAGTTCACTGACATTCATTTGTACAACATCCGAAACAAAGAAAATTTAGTTGCCAATTCAAATCGTTTGAAGAATTTCGTAGTAAGCCTATTAATATATTTAAAAAAAAACTCAAAACTTTTCTTGTTATGAATTGTTTTTATAGTTTTGAGGATTATCTTCGGTGTAGAAATTTTAATTGTTTATTGATTTAATTTAATGCGTTTGACTTGTGTAAAACTGTATTTGTAGTTTTGAACACCAATAAAGTATTGATTGATTGATTGATTGATTGATTGATTGATTGATTGATTGATTGTATAACAATTTTGGATAATAAATTAGATGCGTTTAAATATACATTACATACATCTTAATGATAAAACCGAGTGATTCAGATGAATTCCAGTCCAAAAGTCCTTTAAAACAGTAAAATTTTGTCTTTAAATACATTGCAACCTATTTTTTTAATTCCCGAGTGTAAGCTAAGGAAGTATAGTAATCAAGTCCGTCGGAAGAATTGTCACTTTTATGTTTTCTCGACGTTTCATGACCCCTACAGAACGAAAAAAGTAGTTTCCCGTTTCCGTCTGTCTGTCTGTCTGTCTAAAAGTAAAAAATCATCTTGAATAAAAAAATTACTAGTGTCAATAGATAATCTTCAATATGGCAAACATTGTTCATTTTTTAAATACTCCTGAACGCCCAGTTTTTTTGGGTTTTTTTTTATCGCATTGCTCGAACATTTTACGCATTGTCGACCCAAAAGTCAGGTTACAGTTGGTGTGTACTTAATTATATTCTCAAAACAACAAAGAAGCAAACAAAATGGAACGTTTCTTTAGTCCAAAAAATGGAACAACATACACCACATTATTATTTCACATATTTTTCTTATTTTGCTCTTGAATATAACTGGTAGTCTAAAACTTGGAACCGAAATTCAACTTAGGAAAAATTTTTAAAATAAACTTTACTTAACTTTACAGAAATTGTTCAAGATGTCCTTCATCAAGTTCTAAGCCAAGTGGAACTCTTCTTTTCAAAAAAATTAATAATGTTCAGTGTTGTGACTTCAACAGTCTTTTTGGAACACTGTAAGTTCCCATATAACTATGCAGTAGTTCAGTAAGTGCGAATCAATTAGTGCAAAATTTGCTCCTTTGAGTGTCTGATTAGACACAGTATTGGATAAATTACGTAGAAATTTGTTAATGTTCTTAGAAATTTGCAGTTAAAGGAGCATGTTGTTGCTACGACAATTTACTGTTAACACAGACTTTATAACCAGTACTATCATATAGAATTTTTAAACTAAAATTTATTGTTACGTATTATTATTGTGCACTGTGCAGTCTATTAGCCAGTAGGTAATTTTCTACTTAGTTCTAATATTTTTCAAATAAATTACAGCTGCCCCTGAAGTACTAAGGGTAGTATAATGCACACAGAACGATGTCAGTTTGTTTGCATAATGCGGTAAGTCATTAGGATAAACGAAAACAGCAAGGGTTTTAGACTAGATACTTGCGGTACACCATGTATTACTTGGCATGCATGTGAAACTGATTCCTCTAAGTTTACTTTTTGAGAACTGTTAGTTAAATATGACTGATGAGCTTAACGCTCCTTGAATCAAACTGATATCGTGTCATGGCTCACGGTGTCAAATTCCTTACTTAAATCAAGAAAAATTGCTAAATAATATTCCTAATTTCAAAAAACATTTGTTACATATTTAATTAAGCATATTAATGCACCACAAGTGGAAGATTTTTTCCTCAAGATAAACTGGTTAAATAACCAGTTTATCACATACACTAGTAAATACTAGTGTATGTGATTATCTGCGATTGCAAGAGTTTCTAGTTATCTTGGATAACACGGTTAACAAACAAAAACAGGATGATAGTTGTTTTTATGTATTATACGAGTAATTATTATATTTTTGTGCTTCTAGGTACGTTAGGTGTTTATATTTTAATATGGCTTTTAACCTACCGAATTTTTTATTTTCTTTTACTATTCTCGGTTTAAGTTTAATATTCTTTATGGCATTTTTCCTCTATTATTGTCCCTAAATATATAAATCTATTTTCTTCTCCATATTCGTATTCTTTTCCATTATCGTCACTTTCTTCTTTCTGCGCTTCAAACTATTTTTTGTTTCGTTATTTTTGGTTGATTCTTAGCTCAAAACTGTTTATCTCTTTTATGATTTTCCTTTTGGCTCTCTGTAACTATATGATCGGCAAAAGTCATTCCTCGATGCTCATTGCCAAAAATTGTTTCCTTGCTTTTTAATTCATAGTTGCTTATTATTTTTTAGAGCAATTTTAAAAAATGCAGCGGTTAGTGTTAACTACAAATTTTTCTGACTTCATTCTTTCCAAGCTATTGCATTTTTTTTCCAAGGTCATACATATCAAGGGAACCAACAATTTGGTACTGCCATTTTACTCATTGCTAGGATGTGTAGCTTGATTTTGTACCACCTAGTTTGTATTGCCTTTATTACTAAGGTTTAGTTCTGTCGTTGATCTGCTTTTCCTAAATCCGGCTTCGAATTCTCCTATTACCTCTTCATAATAATCACTTTTGTCACAATCTTAGCAATATCTTATAGCATGTATAATGCAACCTAATGCTTCGATGATGTTTCTATTGTCATTTTATATTCACCAATTGCTTTTCTTTCTTTTTGGTTTTTCCCTCTTATCCATATTTAATAACTTTTTGAACTATATTTTCCATTCCTCCACCACTTTGCGAGGTTCACTGTTTTTAATTTGATATACTTCATCTATAGGTTTTACTCATTGGTAGTGGCATTATTTCTTTGTTTTGAAATCTTTCTTTTATCTCGTGTCCGGAATTTATGTTTTAGCATATTTCGTAACTGTTTATAATTTACTGTTTATATTATTTCACGAGTTCTGCTTAGTAACTTTATTTTTACTTTTTCTTTGTTTCTGCGAGAGCAATCTTCTTTTCATTAAACCATTCTCTAATTTTTAGCTAATCCATTTTACTTGTTTTTTCTATTGCTGTATGCATTTTATTTATTAATTGTTGGGTCGACGTCATAAAATTTTTAGAGTTAAGTACTTACAAAAAGTCTGCATTCAATTTACTTCTATCCTTCCAAGTGTAAGAAAAAAGACATGTCCTTGTCCAGATTTCATCTGACATTTCACTTTTTACAAAATTTTAAGCTAATATCGTCAATTTTATGAGAAGGCTAAATATATAGATTTGGTAAGCCTCTACCAATCATTTGCAAAAATTTAAAAATTGCCCTTGTGTAACCAGCTCCTTGTGTTTTGTCATTTATATAAAAAATATGAGAATTTTAAAGCTTAATAATTTTACAATGAAATTAACGAATAAATTCTTGAAAATATTTGTTTGAGTGTGTACCAAAAGCAAAAGAAGCAGGAGAACTCATGCATTCAGAAATAATAAAAAAATAACAACGTTTAAACAACATTTATCTACGTTTTTTGAATAAAAAGCGGATACGCGTGTGAGAGTAGCAGTCTCATTATTTCCTAGTCTCTCTTCATAATCAAATATTTTAAAAGTCGAGTAATTAAACTGTAACGCAATAACGCATTCAGTTTTAAACGGATCTGCATTTGATATTTATTAAGTCCGCTCTCCTGTACTGTAACTCTGCCTTCCTATTTTCGCTCCTACTAACTTTCGAACTGACGGAAAAACCCACATGCAAAGAGCTCTCGCATTGTCAATTAGTCTCATTGTTAGAAAATAAAAAAGGTTTCGTTAAAGCACAATGGAAATCTTTTTGAGCATAAAAACGTCTCGTAAAGAGGTTAATACAATAAAGCTTTATCTAAAACTTGGTTATTTTCAGACAACAGCGTCCTAAATGTCATTATTTCCGAGACAGAAGCTTGCGGAAGGGACAGATAGCCACCTGGGTTCTCCCACTGTCTTTTATCAAATGGGGCTCTGTTATCAGCGATCGGACAGATGTCGCTATCGACGCTTATCAATGATTCGCAGCCTACATACTACCACGTATACCTATTTTTGAGAGCGTGCAATTAATGTTGACGGGTTCTTGTGTAAACATGTCGCTGAACACGTTGCTGAAAGCATATGAAATAATGAAGCGAACATGTTTTTATTGCTACCAGTCAATGTCGTTTTTAGCAGACGGACGAATATTTTTTTACTTAATTGATTTAGTATCGAGTATTATTGGTTCTATCAAGCATCGGGACGGTTTCGGTAGACTTATTATTGATGTAGTTGAGAAAAGGTCTGGTTCTAATTGAGAAAGACACTTGATGAAGAAGGAGCAATCAATATTGTTAGGGAACGCTAACGGGTTTTATGACCCGGAGAACAACAATTGGTAGTTTAATGTTGTGTCTAGTTCGAGTAGATTTTATGTTTTATTTCCAGGCAGAGAGAAACAAAGATTTTTAGAATATTTTATTTAAATGTAGCGTTTCAATGCGTTCATCACATTTTTGCATTTTTTTATGTTTAAGCGAAATTTTTATATTTCTCATTTGAATCGATGTAAAAACAATTATTGTAGGTTTGATTATTAAGATCTGACACTATAAAATTAAGAGATTCAAAAACGGCTGAAATTTAGCTGAGCACATTTTATATATTTTCGTATTTTTCAGTTGTTATAGTAAATAATGTAATAATAATAAAAACCATATTTATATAAAGAAATCTCTTTGAATCGGATAACTACCAACAACTATACTTTATTAAGAAGCAATTTTATTTACTATATGGAGACTCGCTATTTGTTGTCAAATAAAAGTCTCCAGTTTTCGTGGTCTCCAAGTTACCCAACGTTTCACTATTTGTGCACAAAAGATCTTTATTTAACAATTTCAAGTGAACTTTGCATTGACTTGCTTGGAAACTGTCAGGCGCTGATAGAGCTTCAATGAAATACCCCCAACTTCTCCAATGAGCACAGAAAACTGAAATATAACAATATAGATATTTTTACAAAAAAAAAAAAATGCATACTGCTTGGACTGAGATCATTTGGACCAGCTACAGTATGAACAGGACATCCAGGTTGGAGGCTTCCTCCATTCGGAAAAAAGTCTATCGTACCACAACTTTCCTTAAATCCAAAAATACCGCCATTGGTATGAATTACAACTACCACAGCAGCATCTGTTGCATTTAGTCTTTCGCTTGCTTCTCTTAGTTTGAATGCGGGACCAGCTGGATCTAGAGTAATTATTCTGGGTAGCTTTGTGTGTGTTATTTCTTGAACTTTTTTTCCAACAAAACCTGAAACTTGTCCTCCCAAGGAGTGACCAACTACCAGGAAATTATCAAGGGGAATTGAATAATTGTTGTGTAGGTTTGCAATAAACTGGCCAATAACACCACCTAAATTGTAATAATAGTAATTGCACAATTTTTATCAGTTTTTTTAATTTGCTCACCAACAGGTTTAGTATCAAATGCCGCTACCAGATACTCCTGTGAAGCATATGGGGACCAGTCTACTTCTATAATGTAGTATCGATCGTTCTTTTCAAAGAATGCGTTTTTTAAAGGCTCATACCACGGAGTTTCTCTAGTTTCTAGCCATCCATGTATTATAAAAACGATAGTAACATCATTTTTGTCTAATTCGGTGGGATTTGAAGTATCGATTAATGTGTAATTTTCAGCTTTCTTGGTAGCCCATAAGTAAAATTTTACATTTTCTGGAAGTATCTCATTTTTCCGTATTAGGGAGTCTAGTAAAGGCTTGCCTGATAAAACAGTGACTAGGTCTTGTTTCATAGTATCGGGAAGTACCGAAAGATCCAAACCGGCATCTAAAAACCATAAATAAGTTTTTTGTGGACTACATAACTAAAAATTTCATTTGGTGGGTTAAAAGTTAATTTACGTATTTATGGAAGAATAAAACACATCAGTGATGATTTACTGATTTTTGTATTGGTGTGTTTTATATTTTAAAGATCCGCTAAAAGCAAAGCACGTTAAGTTTTACTTTCAAATCTCTGATAAGGTTGTTTTGAATGTTTAAAATGTGATCATTAGATAACGATACATTATAAAATTTTTCAAATTCAAGTATTCTGTGTGTGTTTTTATTTCCAAAAATTTTGATACATCCCTAGAAACAAAACATTTATTACGATAACTACTACTCACCTCCCAGCGTTATAAAACAAGTGAAAACTATTAATTTCAACATTTTTTGCAGCATTTCTATACAAAAAATACCTGACCGTCGAAATAACAGAATATAACTATTATGCTCTTTCCTATGTAGCGAACACTTTTTATAGTTTTTGAACTTCAGCTGTGTGAATAAGTTCATAAGTTGCCCAGGTCGTATAAATAAAATTTGGATGTCTGACCGTTGCAAATACATATTCAAAAAGGAAAAGTTTCGTAGAGTGTTCTTACGTTATTAAATTTAGTAACATTCTTACGTATGTATAAATTTATAAAAAAAATGTTATGAAAAACAATAAACATTAAATTTTTCTATTGATTTTTACGTGCTTTCAAATGCTTGTGATCTACGATAGTTAATATTCAAAATATGAAAATTGTTGACTAGCATTGCCAAGTGTAGGTATTTAATTTTTTTTAAACTATAACTGAATTCAATTTAGATTTTAAAGTATTTTTTCTGTTCGATCATTTTAGTCAACTTTTTATAGAATTCGTTCCATAATTCCGTTGACATGTCAGTTATTCTCCCTGTTTGCTCCACGTATCAATCTATATGATTTGTACAACGGGAAAATGTCGTTTTAATTTCCATATATCTGTCTATCTAGCACAAATTTTATTAGGTACTTAAATACGTAATTTTCGAAACTGGTAGATCAATTGCTATGGAACTTTCGGTGCACTTCAACACTGTTTGTGACAAGAGTGATAATGAAATCTGGTGAGTCATTACAGACACAATTTTCACATATCTGGCCCTATAAAGATAAATATTCGAATGGTAAACAACCATTGAAATATGCTGTACTAATGAGACCTACGGAGGTCGAAATTGCAGTCTACAAATTTTCATTGCGTTGCGTTGTCAAAATGTTTAGAGGTAGAAAACGTATAAAAAGTGTATCAAGAACGGATGACACCCCTGTGATGGCAGGTATAATCCACTGTCTGGCGGGACTTTTGTCCGGGAAATAGCTATTTTCACCCACTGGGTGGTGCAAGTAATTTAAAAATTGCACAATTTTTGAGTTACACAATGACACTACCGACACATTTCTCTTATATCTCACTAAGCCTCGGTTTTACAGAAAGAAGATCAGTTAAATATTTGATTGCGATTAAATTTTTAACACAGCGTTAAAGTACCACGTGATCATTTTACGCCAATCAGACGTCGCTAAACGCCTCGTTAAATGCGTGATTAACTTAATTTCAGTTAAAATAATGTATAACCTGGCTCTAAAATTTTTAAACCTCGTGGATCGTTTTGTTTTTGTTGAAGTTAATTTTGTTTAGCATTAATGCATTATTACAAAATTAAAATCCTTCATTTATTTAAGTAAATAACGGTTCCTTGTTTTAGTTTTTAGTGCATCCAAAACGGGCCTTTAGGACCTTGTTTTAAATTAATGATTTCAAAATTTATTTATTATTCAATAAGCACAATGTCAAGGTAACATAGGTTTGTATTATGGATGTATTTATTATTTCGTGTATAAATTATTCCAAAATTAATAATACAAAGGCGTGAGTAACGATATTAAATAACAATGGCAATAAAATTCAGCCTAGAAACAAGTGAACAGTAAAGAAGAATTATTTAAAATCATTGTCGATAATAATTTATTTATTATAATTCGTTGCATCCATCTACTTAATATTTAAACATAACACAGAATCTACCTACGTTTCAAATTTGAAATTATACTGATGATTTTTAAAACAAAAAACGTCAAAATTTTAAATTATTTAATAAATAAATGAAGAGTGGTGTTGCTCCTTAGATATTATCATCACTTAAAGGCAGTAATACCAGGCTTGATAATATGAAATGAATGATACGATAAATGTGGCAAAATGTATGTACCAGTGGCGGCTTATGAAGTATTCTTCAGAGGAGGCTCAAATTTGAAAAGCACTACTTTTTATATCTTTCATTATCTGAATAATTTTTTTTTGTCATGTCCACGAAAAGAACACTCCTGCGTTGATAGATAAACTATTGCATCGATTAGTCTTTTCAAAATTGCCCTATTTTTACCTACTTTCTCGTTATAGTTCTCAATATCCCTCTTATGAGCGGAATCTAAAGTAGTAGAAGAAAATATGTATTCCTGTGATTTTTCATGTCTTTCTATTGCTCATGACAAATTTTGTAAATTATTATAGCCTGTTTTATCCCAAACGGAAAATTTATCACTTGTGAATAATACACAATTCCAACAGTATAATTTGTTTCTTAAAAAACCGAAGCCGTTAACCATTTAGTTTTATTATAATTATTTTCATGAAATGGTCTGTTTCGCTTTTTACCTGTCATTACCATTAATGGGAGTGGTGGTGTTGGTCTCCCCTTTTGTTTTATAGCGATCTTATTATCACAATCAAAGCTACTAAATTCATTTTTACTTCCCGAGCGTAAGCAAAGGAAGTATTGTAATCGAGTCCGTCGGCCGACTCTCTACTTTTACGTTTTCTCGATCTTTCATGACCCCTAGAAGACGAAGAAATAGGTCTCCCATTTCCGTCTGTCTGTCCGTCTGTCTGTCCGTCTGTCCGTCCGTCTGTCCGTCTGTCCGTCTGTCCGTCTGTCCGTCTGCCGTCCCGGTTTTTTATTAGACAGATAATCTCCGAAAGTACTCGACCGATTGTTGTGAAATTTTGTACTTACATTAAGAATATCATGTGGATGGTAAAACGCTAACCAAAATTTGTCTAATCATCCCCACCACTAATGCGATGACGTCACTTCAAAATTGTACATAGTAAATGGGTTTTCAATTGTATAAAATAACATAGTCCTATACATGTAGTTTACAACTCCGAATCGACTTTTCACCCGAAACGTCCAGATTTTTGGAAAAAAAATCAAAATTATAAAACAACATTTTGAAATTTAATTTTTAATCTGCTAACCAGAATGCTTTGAAATGTTGCAGATGTTTTAAGGCTATAAAGAGCATCATAAATCTTTAGTCAAAAAATATTTGCTTATCCCCTCCAAAAACTTGATGACGTCAGCTCAAAAGTTTGTGGAATAAATCATATCTAAAATGTACAAAATATGATGAGTCTGTACTTGTGATCTATCACTCCATTCATATTTTTTGGATTTGCATATACAGGGTGACTCAAAAAAATTAATGAATGCGTAAATTTATTTTATTGATTTACTCAGGAACTACAAAACCGAATTCTTTGAAATCCACTGCGAAAAAAAAACATAATAGGCATGCAGTCGTCACGTTTCCGACAGCGAGGGAAGTACTGTCTAAACTCTTTAGACCAATTTTTTAATAGATAATCTACGTATCTGCACATGAGACTGAATTATTTTCGTTGCTCATTCTCATTAAGTATAAGTAATATTAATATGCTGATAATACCAGCTGTTTTTAACGATCAGAAATAAAACGCAAATAAATGATACAAAAAACACATTAGGCTTTACGTAGGTACTAAAGCCTAAACACCACTAACCACTGAATAGGGAGCACGCGAAACCACCTCAATGTTTTTCCAATTTACACCCGATCGCTCCAATTAATAAGAAAGAGATAAAATTATCCGTGCGACTTGATCTGAAAAGAGATGAACTAGCCGGAGGCTAGCGACCTGAAGCGGCACCCTGATCAACGTTTTAGCCAATGCAGTACCGAATGACGATGCGTCAAGATGCATTCTCGGCGGAGGCTGGCCTTTATCGCTGAAGCCAAACGAGGAGTGGTGTGAATTATGATTGTAAGGGCGCAAATATAATTTTTTTCGACATTTTAACCTGATATCTGATGAAAGTAAATTAAATCAAACAAAATATTCTGAAAAGTAACAAATGTCTACAAAAATACAAATTCTTTCATCGAAAAAATTAGAGGAAGCTCAGCCCCAAAAAACAGAGGAGGCTCAGCCTCCCCTGCCTCCTCTGAGGAGCCGTCACTGGTATGTACATTTCAAAAAAAAACTATACAAAAACTAACAAAAGTGTTACGATAGTACTTAAATTAATTATTAAGTATATTAAACATCAAAAACGAGATCTTTTATTATGTTCAACAGAGTCCTAGTCCTACGTCCTGTCCTTTGTATGTCCTTTGTTTACTTCCCGCTTATCTATTTAAATTCGAACGCATTTTAATAATTTTAGTTTGTATTGTGCTTATGTGCATTATAGTTCTTGTTTTTAATAATTTTCATTCACATACAGAAAATGTACTTTTATAAGTCCACACAAATTTGTATTAAAAGATATTCATTATTAATGCATAATAACTTAAGTTAATGGCACCAGTCAGTTAAAAGGGAAGTTATCAATAGGGCCCGGATTTTAGGTCACAAAAAATGAGGAATTTCAAAGCAACTAAAACAATGTTTTTTTTGTCTTTATATTTGTACAAAGGTTAGTTATCAATTTAGTAATCTTACGCTAGCTCATAAAAATGGCAACATATAAAATCATCAAAATTATAGAAATATTTTTTCACCAAAAAAGACTTAATCTCAGACTTACAACAGTGTACGGGACGAACACGGAAGGCATAAGGTAACACATTAAAAAATTTGACTGCATAGTAACTGATGCCCGATCGGATTCTGTTTAGTCCATTAAAGTATGGAGCAATATATTTGTATTTCTCCTGTTATGTGTATAAATCTCACGATGTTTAATATGATCATCAGTATGGTATTTTATATACATCAAACAAACAAAAATTTATAGCGAAGGGACTGTCATAACACCAACTTTCCTAAAAGCAGGCTTAGAGTCACCTCCACACTTATTGAAACTAGACTCAGAGGTAGTGCCATTTATTGAAACAAACTATTTGTCTTCTGTTGCTTACGTATGACGATAACAGCGCACAACTGGTGGGATGCAGGATTATAACATATAATTTCCGGAGAAGTGTGATGTGCGAGACATAGTCCGAAGCTTTGATAAGGTCAAGAAATGTCGCTAAAGCATAAAGACCCTTTTCATAACAGCCAGCAATATCATTGACAAGATCAAGAATAGTCATAGTTGTATTTTTACCATTTCTGAAACCAAACTGTTTA